ACACAGAGCGACTATATACTGGCTAGCAAGGCCCGGTGCTTGATTCTCACAGTATTCCCGCTCGATCCACCATCGCTTCCGGTGTGGGAGCATGGAGCAAGCTCTACGCCGTCGCCTTTGCGTTTGTGTGTCGGCCGGCTGGCGCAAGCTGGGCGCGCGCAACAGGTTGAGACTAACAAAAACTAAGGCAGGCCTGTCAGGTGTTACAAGCCCAAGGCGACGGGCCAGTCGCACGCACTCTCGTCGAGGCTCGCAGCACCAGTATGTTTTCGGCTTGTTATACATGATGGAGGCCTTAACACCACCCGGCTTGTCGAGCTTGGAGCACAGCTTTCCTCGCCTTCCGTTACCAGAAGGTGCCTTAGTCACCATGCCCGTCTCATTCGACGAATGGCAAGCGGGACCCTGGACTGATGCACACCCCGGGCCTGGAACCCCTCTGGCCAAGGTCGCTCTACCCCACCAAAACATTTAACTGGACGGGATAAGGACCTTTCACGACACCACGCTGGACCGGACGGAGGGGGAGGGACATGGCCAGAGAGGGCTATGCTGCTTAAATTAAGCCGTCATGTCGCCAACCTCTCCTCTGCCTGTTTGTGCTCGTTCCAGCTCATGCACGCCTGAGGCTGTCCGTTTACTGCGGTATCGATCGCTCCGAGCATTTCTTCCGACCATCTCTCTTCCTGGTCGTTGCGAACGGATATGCTTCTCTAGTGCAATAGCTCCGCAGCTTGACCCCTCCGCCGAACACCCGCCTTGAGCATGACCCCCCAGGGGAGGCCTGGCAAACCCCACGATGCTACGGACACCCTGCTTCTTCTCGCCGGCCACCGCACTGCGTGAAGGAAGCCCTGGCCTGCACCAGACGAGAAGAAAAAAATTCTTCCGGTACACGAGATGTTCTCTCGCAAGGGTGGCGGCAAGCTCGTCTACGCTGTCTCGGTGGCTGCAGGAACTCTGGCCCGCTGCGGAAAGCGCCCGCCTCTCGCGAAGAAACGAATGAATCGTATTTTACCTTCAAGGGAAGATGACGACGCACGGGGAATCAGGCGACGCAATGAGGGAAAAATGATGGCTGAGAAACAAAGTGTGCCAGAAACCAATCAACACCAACATCTCGGCGGCGGCGTCGCAGCCTTCGTTTGTGCACAGAGCAGAAGACTGCCATCGGCCCAGCATTATCCCAGGCTCTAATACGCAACATGTGGCACGTCTATTTCGCGACCGACCGCCGACTTGCCGGCCGGGAGCCACGATAACGATAAAGAGGGGAAGGCTCGGTTTTCCAATAATTACCCCTCCGTGACATCTTGTGCGTGTTATCTTCCGCTTAACGGGACTAACATTCCTTTCCCTGCCATTTTCCTCGGGGTCTTTGTTGGCCCATGCGACCTCGCGCTCCGTCATTCGGGCGGTCACAGACTGGCCCGATACCTGGCGGCAGCGGCATATCTTGGTGGACACTGAGCGGATGAATGGGCGGGGCTCTGGTGGTGGCCTTGAATTGGAGTTGGATGGAGCGTTTGCGCCGAGCAAATGAACCCTTGACACCCGACCCAACCACACTTTTACCACCAACCACTGCCGTCATGACAGAGACACATCCACCACCTCCGGAAGCCTGGCTCCCACTGGCGCCGGCCGCACACCTCGACGCAGGCCTTGATCGCCACGGGCCCATGCTTGGTTGATCTCCATCACAGGCAGTCTCGACGTGAGATTGCCGATGCGTGGACTATATCGTCAGCTTCCACGCATATTCGACTCTTACGACTGCAACGCACTTTTGTCAATTTTTTTTGACTTGGCCGTGTTCCATCCAGCTACATACGTCATCATGAGTTCCATTCTTCCTCACAGGGGCAGACACGACAAAAGAACAAGGACCCCGCGGCTTCACGTTGGGGTGTCCCAGCCATGCCCCTGCTCGAACCCGCACAGAATGAAGGTGAGCAGGACTTATCGATTGGCGGGCGCCCTTTTTGGTCAACAACCCCGTCTCTGATTCGCTTCAGTGCCAGCAAGATCCCCGCGATGATCATTGAACCCTGGTTCGCGCTAAGATAGAAACACCCCGGCCTGTGGCCCATTTCATGTCACTCCTTGTCAGTCGTTTCCCCCCTCCAAAGTCGCTTTGCACCACGTCGAGTAACCCAACAAATACTCGCTATTGAATGGCCACTGTCCGCAAGCCATCATGGTTAATGCTTCAGACGTTCGTCTCATATTCCCATTTCTCTCTGCAAGGTTCCAGGGTCAGCTCGGCCACGAAGCGCTGCAATATTACGTTCGACAGCCTGGATACGGGACACATTCAGAGCGCCGACCCTTGTCTGCCTGAATGGCAGTTTAGGTGACAGCCGTCCAAGTGAAGCGCGCACACACCCACCACCGCAAACACTCGTTTGCTTCGGCATCCATCTACCGCTGTTCCAACGACAATAGCAACAGAACAGGGCTTCCATTTCCATTCAAATTGGAACCCCAGCCCCGCGGGCTTGAGCAGTCTCTCGGACACGCAGCCTATTGAGGCAGGGCAGGCTAACGCAGCATGAAAGTCTGACACCTCCCGGCCACCAAATGCCAGTTGCCGACCTCTCCGTTCCCTATCAAACAGGCCGTTCGACAGGTCGACTTTTATCATGCCCACGCCTGTTTTGCCCAACCAAAACTATGAGGATCTTGGTCAGCACCAAACCCATTCCTCAAAGTGGCACGTGTCGGTGTGGAATCAATCAGCGAAGTCGCTTTAATCTCAGCCCACACTGCCCAGACGCAGGAGGTCAAATCTCAGCATTTCAGATTTTTGACACCGCCTGCTTTATTGGTCTCAAATCACCTTGCAACAAGACATGAGCGGTCGAGACTTGTCTGAGCCACATGGCGGTTATCGAAACGAACAACCGCCGGCCACGCCCCTCCGGATCTCAGCCGACTTATGCCACGTTGAACAGCAAACACGGCTGCCGTCTACTGCGGAAAACCGTATCACGAAGGAAGCGCATTCGCCGACCAGCAAACAGAAGTTGAATCCTTTTTAGGATAATTCCGTCTTTTGAGACCACTGGCCCTCCATGTTCCTCGCAAGCGCCTAAAAGAAGCACAACTGAAGACCGAGAATAGTTGGTTCAGGGATTTCCCCAGGCACGCACACGTGTGGTCGATGACAGTACCCGACCCGCGCGCCTGCAGCGACTTGACACCAACACATGCCACGGGCTCGTTGGCGGTGACATCCCGTCGAAGCATGGTTTGCTCGCCAAGAGCGCGAAAGACAAGTCGAGCATACAGCGCGAACACGGCTCGAGACTCAATCGCCGGGTGGGGGCTAAACTTCCCCATTGCACATTCCTGCCTCCGATGCAGGCCCCGACAGCTGACTCGCCGCCATGCCCGAAAGCCCCTTGGCAGACGGGACGGACGACCAACAACAGGATGGACTGTCCGGAGGGTGCGGTGACGCTGGACTGTCGGTCTCGGGTTAGACGGGCCCCCACTTCTCCCTTTCTCAGCTCAGTGCATCTTGGTCTCACGCAACGTCAAGGATTCCCCTCTTGCTCATGCTGCAAGCACTTAAACCCCACCTCTCCCGGATGCTGCGCTGCGCATACCGCGCTTTATTTCGTGACGGTGATAATGACGAACGACTCGATTGCCGTGAGTTCTAAGGGGTGCCGTTGCTGTGTGATGTGCGCTTCGCCGTTGTCATCGCCCAGGTCCTAGCAACTCGAGAGCTCCGTTGCTAATATTCCATTCTCGGCGGTAAAACACTTCTACTGCTTGATGTGAGTCTGCGGCAGAGTTCTTCCCGTCCAGGCGGATTATTCTCGCCAATCGAGAGCCGTCTAACGGAAAGTATGAATGCCTCACGTTTGCTCCATCCGTCAATACGTCTCGTAGTGTATCGCAACTGATACAGACTGTGTATATTGCAAAAGCGAGTACATTACTTCTTGACGTTACTCATCAGAACCAAAGAAAGCTTTCCAGCCGCGTATGGCCGTCTGACGACTTCAGCTATCGTGGGACATGATGGCTTTGTTGTGGGCGTTCATTGGCATTCATCTTGGTCAAGTTCGTGTTACGCATGCTTTACAAGCTTATACCTTATATTTGGAAAGGCAGCACTTAAGACGACGAGGGCTAGCTAGCCTTAAAACATTTCCAAGATGTGTTGAGGACACTCCTGGGGAAAAGTGTTCTCTAGCACGGCAGATTCGTCTTCGGATTTTTGAATCCCATCGAAGCACGTCATGGTTAGACGTCGAGTGTGTGATATCCAACAGCGGTCTTCTGATAGGCATGGCTTTAAAATCTAGGCTTCGATCTCCTCACTATCAACAAAGTTGAGATAGCACGGTGCTAACCCGACTTGTCTCTGTTATGGTAATTCCTCTAGAAGGCAGTTCGACCAGCTCCCATGCGTTGTTCATTGCATGGAAATCTTTCGTCCCAAGCTACTACCTGCAGTTTATATCAATCATCATTGGAACTCCATGTGTTGAAACTGTCATCCCAACATCATGTCCACATATTCACTTTGACAGAACACCCAAGGAGACAAAAGGGGCTGCCAAAGGTGACTGTGAATCACGAAGACCCAAGGTCACTAAATCAAAGCCCCGTGTCTTTCATCTACAAAAGGCTCCGGTTCTCTCGCGTGAAGCTGTCGACATGATCGAGTCAGTCCACCAACCCCTACGCCCTTTACTCGCGAGTCTTGATAGTGGCACGTCAACTACACGCATAACCATCTAAACACTCCTTCTCCGCTCCAGACTCTTCTCAGGCCAGGGCCTTCTTCTCACGTTTCGTTTCTCCCGCACCTGCTTTCGTTTTGTTTACACCTTCAACTCAGAAATTCTGGTGTTCACCTTGCCCTTCGCCACACAACAACACAACAGGACATCATACCTTAGATGGTCTCTTACAACGAGGCCTTGCTTGCTACCCCGGCTTCGCGTGTCGTCAACCCCTATATTCAGGGTACTGACATCATGGACACGGGAGTTCCCTACCGTCGCGAGCGTGGCTTTTCCGCCCCTCCTCCGACCAACTCTGCCGCTGCTGAGAACGATCATCAGCGCGCCGAGATGGCTCCCCGCCTCCCGCCTCTTCGCGAGCTTTTTCGGAATATCTACGATGGCAACAAGACCGCTGTGGCCGAGGTTGCGGACATGGGCCCTTTTGGCACCGCTCGCCGCGAGCAGCGTCAAGTGAGTGATTCTCCCCGATATTTTGTCTCTATCAGCGTCAAATTTACTCATAGCCCTTGCCTCTGCAGTCCTCTCCTTACCGCATGAACGGTTCGACTCTGGGCGCCGCCGCCACCGAGACCCCGTTCAACCCTCATTCCAACGCCGTCGGTCACGTTCATCACGGCCCCCCTGCTCCAGTCCACCCCGAGCATGAGCGAGAGCCGCGCACCTTTTATGATGAGTGCCAGGTAAGCCCTTCGATGATCAGTATCCTCATCGTTTCGCCCCAGTGTGTGAGCTGACTCCGTCTTGCAGACGTCTCGATTCCCGTTCGACAAGCCTGCCAACACTTTTGGGGACCGTGGCACTTCTCATGTCCGTGGCAAAGACATGAAGAGCTATCCTTCGCAGGATATTCGGAGTTACTTCTCTCCTCGGAGCAAGCAGGACTATGTTCCTCTCCAGTACTCGCAGAGCCATCGTCACCTTCATGATGGCCACAGCTACTACCCCCACGAGCAGCAGCATGGCTACGATCATGGCTACATGCAAGGTAGTGTCGCTTATCCGGCTCAGTATGACGACATCCATTCCCAGGACTATTCCCCTATCCACGACCATCATGACCACCAGGTATGACTTTAGTGTGACCTCGCCGTCGCCTCATCGCTAACTGAACATGGTAGTCTTCCGTGTCTCGCAACAACACCCACGGCTGGACTCCAATCAACGCGCGCGATAGCCGTCCCGTCCTGACGCCTGACCGTACCCCTTTTGCTGATCGCTACCACCAGGAAAGCCCCACTCCCGCTGCGCGTGGACGCAAGGTCACCAACGACAAGCGCGCTGCTCAAGGCACCGCGGGAAACCACTACAATCAGCCTGCGCCGAAGCTCAAGTTGAAGGGCGCTCGCGGCAAGAAGTCCACTCCTCAGGGCACCACCAAGTACCGTGAGATCCAGCCCAAGCTGGACTTCGAGCCAAAGGCCGATGCCTCCCACCAGTTCCAGACTCCTCGTTTGGATGCCCTTGCAAACTCTGGCGCTGCTCCTGACAAGCAGACTGGAAAGCCTTCCGCTCCAGTTGCAGCTCCCGCCCTCCACCAGACCTGGACGCCGGCTCCGACAAATACGACGAAGTGTGACATTTGCAACTCGCGTGCCATTGGCACAATGGTCCACCAACGCTGCACGAAGTGTCCGTACGTCATCTGCCGCAACTGCGTCTACGACGGAAAGATGACCAAGCTCCGCAACCACACGCCCATGCACGTCGATGAGTTCAACTGGGGAAAGATGCGTCCCATCCAGCGCATGGACAAAGTTCGGGCTGCCCAGAAGGCCAGAGCTATTCGAGAAAGGGAAGAGGCCGATGCTGCTGACCGCTCAGTTGGCTCCATGAAGCAGTCGGTAAGCTGATCCGCTCTGCCATCCTTGAATCTCCGCTGACCCATCTTCTTCCTTCAGATCGAGAGCGCTGCTCCCTTCACCCCAACCAAGAAGACCTCGCAGACGTATGTCACCATCTCCTCCGATGATTACGACGACAACGACTTGAACGGCCCTGAGGACGACTACAAGCCTCCCACTTCGTCTGAGCGCAAGAGTAAGAAGGCCGCCAAGGCTGCTGACCGCGGCTTCTCCGCCTTGGATCAGTACGCTGGACATGTTGGCTTGGCCAACTCCCGCCCCGTCCGTACTTCCTCCATCAATACCTACGAGAGGATGCGCCACCAGGCCGCGGCGCGCCAATACATCGCTCAGCCGGACTTTGGTACCCATGCTCGCAAGCATCGCCACCAGGACTCCGGCGATGAGGACGTTGAGTCTAACCCTGACGACGAGGTCTACAACCCGCGTGGCAAGCGCCGCTTCATGTAACTTGTGCCTCTCTCAAGCTGCAAGTTGGGACACAGATGGCTGGAGCTCCCACTCGAACAAGCACGTTCTTTGTATCGTTGCTGGGGTCTGGCTCGCTCAACAGGCAACTGTTGCAATACGCCCTCGTCACAAAACAAATCCGTTCTTGACGATCACGTTTAGTCACTTCTCGAGAGGTTTGCATCAAGTCGACTCCAACGGTCCAACAATGACTCGAAGCCATCAGGAAGGGCAGTCAGACGCGTCACGTTTCTCGACATTATGAGAGTCAAGGAACATCTCCCGCTTTTGGAACTACTACGCAATTGAACGCAACTCTGACGCGTCTTAGCATTTCCAAGACGGCTTCGCTTCCGCCATGACTAGGTCGCTGTCATGATGACGAAGACATCAACGCGGCTCAAACGTTATCGATGATTGTCGACTCTCATTGCTACAGTTTGCGTTTTCTTTTCTACTTCACTTTCGTTTCATTCTTTTTTCTTTGTGCGAGCTCAGCAAACGGATTCATTGCTACCAAGATGGATCTGCCCTATGACGGGGAGTGGCAAGGTGGTTTCGACGGAGGATTAAATTGGTTTCGCTTTTACCAGATATTATACCCCCTTTTTCGTCTCCCGGAGGAACGTCTCGGCGTTGGAGACTGGAGAGGGTTGGGTCAGTTACTTGGCTTAAGATACCCCTTTCTTTCTTGTACCATAGGCTAGATCTCGAATATTGATACAGTCATCGATACTTTGCTTGGCGGCGTGGTGGTTGACGATTCGATTGTTCTTCTCGTAAGTTGAAGGCGAACTGGTGATGAGGCTATCCGCCTTTGTGGACACACTTGGTTCTGGAAGCGACTCGAAGGTGACGCATACTCGGCATGGTTTGATGGACTGTTAGGATTCCCGATAGTCAAAGATGATTGCCAAAAGTAAGCCAAAGTCGAAGTGTGTCGCTGTTTGAATCGAAGCTTCCAGAGGACTCATACTTAATCATGAGCAAACCAGCACCAAATAGAAGACTGGAGACCTTGTTCTGTTGCTTACATCGATCTGAGCGAAGGCCTTTGACAGAATCTGTGTCAAAAGTCGGGACAGTAATTTTTGCCCAGTAAACTGAGGAAGGAGCCACTTCGACGTTTGGAGGGAAGGAGTCGACCGAATTTTCCACTCCACTCATCCAACCAACTCACAATCCCGTCGACTGCCACGCGACTTTACCGACTCATAAACCAACATTGGGCCATACATTCCACCATTCAAGTACCACAGACTGCCAGCGAATTTCGACTCTGTTCTGCTTCAACTGCATCTCTTTACACCAGTCCGAACGCCAGCCTGGGCACACGCAGGCATGTTAGCCAAATGGCGATCAACACGAAAGGAAGCAAGCATGGCTTGGGTATACCGAGAGAAGTTCCACGCGTCGGGACTGGAGAAGAAAGATCTCGAAAAGGGCCTGAAAGATATATTCCCCGATAACCCCTCCTCGAAATTCGATGTCACGTTTGTAAGTGCCAAGGAGCCGGTTTCATTGATTAGTCGACTGACAAATTGACCAAGCACGCGGAAAACTGCACGTAGCACGTCCGTGTCCCTCGTAGCATGACACAAAAGGAGAAGAATGACATTGAGGTCCTACGCAACACCAACGAAGTCAGTCATGGCGATTGTGACCTGGCCGGGGAGAAGACGGAACCAGAAAAGTCGACTGACGGGCAACAGATCGGATCCAAGACGGACGAACAAATAAAAAAGGAGTATTTTTGAGGTCTATCAAACAAACAGTACATGACTTCGTCGCAACATGATCATGAAGGTGGCTTGCGCCGATGCTCTAGTAACCGAAACCGCTCTCCCACCAATGCTCACCAGTATGCCAACGTCCGATCGCTTCCATGTCGGGCTTCCACCACGACGTCTCCCCACGACCGAAACCCAGCGCCCGCACAACAGACACGGGCACAGGCTCGACCAGCCACAGACCGGTCTCTGCGAAGTCGTCCGCCAGGGGCTTGACGGTGACCTGCAGCCACACGAGGACGAACATCAAGTTTCCGAACCGCCTCACGATGCGGGGCATCTTTGCGATCTGGGGCTTGAAGGTCGTGCAGAAGGCCTTCTGCAGCAGGACGCCGACGCCGGACGCCCAAAAGAAGGAGCAGGGCTTCAGCCAGTTCGTCTCGGGGATCGCCGTCACGCTGCCGGCGCCGTGGAGGAGGCCGGAGAGCCAGAAGGCGATGGACATGATGATAAGCTTCGTCGTCGTCGTGCCCTGCTTCAGATACCCGTGCTGTACGAGCCAGTTTCCCGGGGCGGAGAAGGAGTGGCGGAACGTCTGGTGCCACCAGGCGCCCCAGAACCCGGCCAGGCCCCTGTCAAAGACCTGGGAGAAGGAGCCAAAGACGGAGGAGTACTGCCACAGCTCGCCGCGCATGGGAAAGACCTTGCTAAAGACATAGTACTGGAATAGATCGTGAACAGAGAAAACCATGACAATCGAGGAGTACAACGTGCAGATGATGCCTGAGTGACGGTAGACGGACAAGAGCCAGTGAGGGGTGGATGCCAGGTGAGGAGGCAGCGGGAACGGCGTGCTGCCGAAGATGAAGTACGGGTCCTCGGTGCTCTTCACCTTGAAGATGTCGAGGATGATGTACGCGAGGGAGACGGGGATGAGCTTCCGCCACAAGAAGTCGCGCTCGTCCTTGTACGTCTGGCAGCCGACGAAGGTCTCCAGCGGGATCGTCTCCATCTTGACGAGCTCCTCGGTGTGCGGGTGCTCAGGCGGAGCAGGGCTAGGTACGGACGAAACAGCCCACGACCATCCTGTTATTGTCAGTATACGGTACAGTACCTCCAGAAGCTTCACACTTACCGACGCCTCGGAAGTTGGTGTACAAGTCCACGACCCAGCCCAGACGCTTGACAAAGGTGCCGTTCTCCGGGTATGACTGCCAGTAGTATTCGTACTTGTCGACGTTGACGTCCGGTGCCGTGGCCTTGTTGTTCCGTCGTCTCTTGCTGCCGGCCCGTTTGCGCAGCCCGCCTTGGGAGTTTGACCGCGCAGCAGGCGAGTTGGATCGGCTCGACTTCCTCGAGGGCTTGGGCGACGAGGTAGCAGTCTTGCTCACCTTCCTCCTCGCCACCCTCTCAAAGTCAAACTGCGGGGCGGTGAAGACGAGGTTGGTGACGCTGGACAGCATGCCCCAAAACGCAGACAGGCCGCTCGTGTAGCCCATGGACATGTTGGTGCTGGAGGTCTCGCGCATGATCTTGATGTTGAAGGCGATGATGAAGGCCAGCACGAGCCATCTCGCGGCGTAGACCCACGGGCGCTTCCTGTGCGGGATGGTCATATACAGGATGGGCAGGATAAAGGTGCCAAAGATGCCGTAGGGCAGCACGAAGGGCTTGGAGACGCCGGCCGCGACGCGGGCCTTGAAGACGGCGCGGTAGCTGTCGCGCACGACCGCGGCGAGGAGCGGCGTGCTGGCGTTGACGAGGTCCGCGGCCGGCTTGGAGAAGTTGGCGAGGATGGGCGCCGTCATGTTGGGCACGCCCAGTGTTGCTGTGATGGCAGCCGCCATGTTGGACGAGGTATGTCTCTGATCAACCGTGACAGGTTACGTTCAATGTCCAGAGAAGGCGGGGGGAGACTGATCAGACTGGCCTGGAGATCGTAAGACAGTGACAATGTTCAGGAGAAGGGCCGGTAGTATAAATAAAACATTGTCAGCCGCCTCTGCGTGGCTTGTCTGACTCGGATATAGCACGCAGATGTACGAGGACACCGCCGGTTCGCCCCGAGTACGGGAAGCCAAAGAAGCGGCGACTAGGGCCGGAAACCAGGGATTCTCCAGCTAACGGACTTTTTTTTTTTTTTTTTTTGTATTTACGACCAAGGCTCATGAGCCGTCGTGAGAATTTTGTGCTGCGTTTTCCCGAACGTCTTACAGCATCCCGCAACCAACGCACCATCCACCGCCCCGCAGTCTTCCCGTCGTGCTTGGACGACCCCGGTTGGGAGGCAAGGAGGCGGGACGAAAGACGACGAGAAACCGAACCCGATTACGATTGGAGGACAGCACGGGGGACGTGGAAAGCCCTATCCGAAGGCGAGAGTGAAGGGAATGGGGGGATTTAAGGCCTCGGAAGTGGACAAAAGCGTCGGGTTCAGGTTATGCGACATGTGGCGTGTGTGCGAGAGTAAGAGTGCGGCGATTTGTGGTGGGTGGTGGTAATAGCGCTCCTCCAGACAAACAGACACAGAGAGAGAGAGGATGGAAAGCAAGGGCGAGAAAGACGAGTTGGTGTGTAAAGGTGTGTCAACCCCCCCGAGGCGATTCTCAAGTCGAAGATCCGTTTCGTCGCTTTGGAAACAAAACGCTTCCCTCAAATAGGTAGCAGGACATCATGGGGGATGGGATGACATTGCAATGCGAGCAGGGGTGCGGCCGCGGCGAGGAAGCAAGCACGAGAGATATGCCAGAGATAAGCAAGGAAGGCAGAGATGTGTGCGTGATGTGGAATAAATGCAGGCCAAAAGACGAGACGAAAGAAAAGAGAAGCATGTTTGAGTCGAGTCGCCGCATCAACTTTCGTCTGACGTCAACCAACAAGTCTCCGGTCGATCCAAGTCCCGGCGCGCGGCATGCTACTCGCCCCACGTCAGCCAGGCGGGCCGCCACCCACCCACGGTCCTGCCTCGGGTGATGGGGTGGCCCCTGGAGGCGACCAGCGGTGGGCGAGGTGGCTCCCTGCCGGGTCCGAAGACGACGAATCATGGCGGGGCGCTGCAGCGGACTCGCTCACCCACCCACGGTGCGTTGTAGTGGGCTGATTCGCTGGCCGCCGGGGACCCTCAGCGCCTCCGGCGGGCGGTCTCTGCTTCAGTCTGGTCCATCCAGTGTCTCTCACCTCAGCTCAGCAGCAGCAGCAGCAGCAACAGCAAAGCGTACACGAGTACGGGACTACGACCTACGACGCCGACTCGGGCCAGGGCACTGCCACGACTTGCCTCTTTTGCCCTCGGGACGAGTCGCAGGGGCGCTTCACGTGGGAAACCGCGGATGCTTGGGTGCATTTTCCCACCAAATCCCATCATGGACTCCTCCCAATCACCACCGACCGCATCATGCGAGGTCGAAAGTGGCAATCTGATGGAGAAGAGAAGCACCGGCACGACAATCCACTTTTCGACGACACAAAGCAAACAAGCGAGAAGCGAAAACAAGGTGAGGCTCATCGGAGCTGACGGTGTCAAACATGTACGCCTTAACCTTGGAAGGATATCGCAAATCAAGGGGGCCAATCGATCTGCCAATTGGGCTGTCAATCTGCCCACCCCGGCACTCGATTCCCTCCCCCCTAATGCAATCACGATCTAAATTGCTACCCAACCATCACACCTTAATTCGACGGTGCTAATGACATGATGCAGCACTAAACCCTCCCCGCGATTTCAACCAGTTTCTCTGCCCACCACCATCAAACGTTCGGACAACGGCGCTTCCTTTTGTCTTTTACGGTTCAACGGGGTAAACCAGTCCCCGCCGCCGCAGTCGTCGACGTCGTCTCTCTTGTCCTGCTCGTCTGCCACCGCCACAGGGTCCCCCAAGCCCCCCTGAGCCACCGTCCCATCGACGTCAGCATTTGGGAGGCCCCGGCTTGGACGGGACCCCCCACACCCACTACCGGAGTTTCTGGACACTGTGATGCCGTCTTGCCCACCGCCGGCGCCGTGTGGATCGAGCGCGCAACCGGGCTTGGCTCGGGTGGCGTGGTCGTCTGCCCCTCGCCCGTGTGAGCCACGCCTCCAAGATTCCAAGGCATCGATAGCCGCGGGAGCCGCAATCTGGTCCTCCTGTTCGCACCCCGCCTCCCACCCAGCGGCTTGACGATGGCGAGGGTGACGACCGTCATGACCAGGCTCGCGACGGCCCATGTCCCGAACGCCGCGACCGAGAAGCTGTACACCGGGACGGGCGCGTCGGGAGGGCCCTCCCCGGCGGCAGAAGCGCTTTCGTTTTCGTTCGGAAGGTCCTGAAACTTTACAATGTCTGTACTCAGGACGGTCTAACTCGCGCAAACGAGTTGTGCTCATCCGATCAGCCCATGCCGTCGTCTCGGCTGTCCATCCCAACACCTTGCTTTCGTTCGGGGTCTTGTTACTCACCGATACGACAGTCACTGGCAGCAGGATCAATGCTATGAAAGAGAGCTGCTTCATTGCGGCCGAGTCATCTGCGGTCAACTCGGCGATGGATTTCATCTGCTGGTTCGCATGATGCGTCTGCATCCGTTGAATCTTTGACAACGCGTTACTCGGCGGACCCCGACCGGGGGGGGGGGCATTGTTCACGACTCACGTATTCCTCTCGGTTCCCGGCCAGCTGGTCCAGAGCCTGCGCCCGCTGCATCAAGTCCTCCATCTCCTCCATCGCTGACGATAGCTCGCCTTTGAACTTGTCCAAGTGCGCCTGCATCTCGCCTGCGTGGCGAAGATCAAGCCTGTCCAGCTCGTCGCTGACCTGTTCAGTGAGAAATTCTCGGAGGCGTCGGAGGACGCGGAGGTTGCTGTCGACCCTCATGGCGCTGCGGTGACGCTGCTCCATGAGGAACGCCATGCGACGGAGATCTACTTCGTGGATGGCATCCGTCTGCGCGTCGTCTTCGTCGCCAAAGGGATGCAGGTACGGCTTTGTCTGCAGACCAATTCTTAGCAGTTCGTGTCGTTGATCAACAAGCCCAAACCTACCAGTTTCGACAGATGCAGTTCCAGATCCTGGAAATGCGGTGAGAGCTCTTCCACAGCCCATTCGACAACAGCAAGGAGGCTCTCCAGACTGACCCGGAACCGGTCGGCCACCCCTAGAGCGCTCATCCCCTCCAGTGTCCCCTCGAACCTCTCCTTGACCGTATCCCACAGGAGATTCTGCGTGCCCTTCCCCTTCTCCCGGTGGTAGCTCCGCGGGCTCGTGAGCAGCCAGACCGCCGTGCCCTCGACAACGTCAAAGTGGACGTACACCGCCGCCGCGTGGGGCTGCCAACGCGACGTCTTGCTCGGGTCTTCGCCCTTGGGCCACGCGTGGAGGGGGTACCTCCGCATGCTGAACACTGTGAAGCAGAGCTGAATGTGCGAGCCGCTCCGGCCAAGATTCGGCACAGCCACGCCCTGTTTAGAGGCCAGGCTCGTCGTGCCCCGAAACCCAGCGAAGCGCATGCTGCTCGCAAAACTCCACGACTCGCCGCCGCTCGTGAGGAAGTTGAGCAGGCAGGACGGGACCTGGTGGTACGTCAGGAGCTCCAGCAGGACCTTTTCGCTGAGGTTGAGCAGCAGCGACGTCGGGCTCAAGCGTTCCAGTAGCCTGGTGTTTCCGTCAGCTGGCAGTTTTCTGAAGCCGAGTAGCGGCGTACACTATTCTCAGAGCCGGATCCCTCACGAGCGTCGCCGATTCCATCGTAATCTCGGACGGGCTGGGCCACGCCAGCTTCCTGCGCAGCCCAATTACGTTACGGATGATGTGCAGATTCACCCGTCTCGGCCCCTCTTCTTTGCTCCATGACTCGGCGTCGTCAAAGTCTATGATGATCAACGGCGTATCGATCCTCGACGGAGGCCCATCAAATATTGCGTCTCTGTTTGCTGCATAGTGCTCGAGGCATGACCGAAGCGCCGGGCGTCGCTCGTCCTGGCGTATCAAGGAGTCAGGATATGTCTCTGCCACGGCGATCTTCTCAAGGAACAGGCGTTCGCATTCGTCCATCGTGACGGATTGGAACGGATGTATTCACTGCGGAGTCCGAATGCTGGTGATGGGAGTCTGGTTGATCAGTGCATCTCAGAGGACCAAAGATGCCTCCCATCACCGCCGACAGCCTCGAGAAGAGTGCAGTGCTCCTCGAGACGTACGGCCATTCTGTGACACATGTGGCAGGTCGCCCGGATGCCGACAGCCTCGAAAACGCCTGGCACACGCAAACTGGATCGCACAGGGTGACACGGGGATAGGCCGCCAATAAGACATCATGACACCCTGGCTGCGGCAACACGACGAGCTGTGGATCGCATCAGAAGTCTCCGCAAGATTATATTTTGCTCCTGTACTACTTAATGTACTTCTCTACCCGTGCAGTCTTCGCTGTGTCGAGTCTGCTCAGCTCGGCATCAATCCACCCAAGGACCGGTGAAAAGTTCGCCTGCCTTTTCAGCAAGGCCTTTCTCACGGCATCAAGTGCCAGCCTGGTCAAATGTCAGCCTGCTGTGGTTGTGAACGCGCGAAAGTGTACTAACCAGGTAACGTGCGTCTTCTCCATGGCGCAGCTGTAATCCGGGTGCTTCTCTTTCCTCGCCTTGCCTGTGAGGAGCACAAATGCCACGTCGATGATTCTGTTGATGGTTTCTGAAAGAATGTGAGCCAAATGACAACCAGTCGTAACAATAGACACCTACGCGTGAGCATGCGGCTTCTGGGTCGCTTCGCAGCAGGCAGACAGCGCCAGTAAGCCAGCATCTTTTCTGCCGTCTCCGTGAAGGCCTTGTGGAGGTTGCAGAAGACGGTCTCGAGCGTGTTGTGTCGGGTGTCATAGAACATCAAATGGGACTGGATCTTGAAGGCGTCTGCGAGAGTCAGTAAAGGAAAGAGGACTCCGGTCGGATGACCTACTCAGGACCCTTCTCTGGAAGTTTTGCCCTGGCTTGACTCCGTAGTCGACAGTCAGGGCGTTCGAGATTGCAGCCCCCTTCGCCGTGTCGTGGTCCCTGATAATGTCAAGCGTTTTGCAATCAATACTCAAGCCACAGTAGGGAAATGGGCTCGCTTTTAGTGCCCTGGATACCTTCACGCCGCCAAGCTCCAGATCGAAATTGACCAGCGTCTTGTTGGGGTTGACTGCCACGCCGTACTCGGGAATACCACCGTGCATGACCATGACGAACTTGCGGGCTTTCTTCTGGCTCGTCGAAATGAGGAGGAAGTCATCAATGAGCCTCAGAAGCAGGCAATCCTTGCCGCGAAGGAAAGTAAGACGCTCTGCTTCGAGGTCGGCGTAAAAGTAGTTGCAGAGAGCCGATGACAAGACAGAACCCTGCGGGATGCCCTTCTTCTGCCTGTAGTACTTCTTGCCGACCTTGACGAGATTGTGCTGGATGTGCGACTCCATCAACTCCATGAGGTACTTTGTCGCGTGCTCTTTCCGCGAAATGTTACCCACAAACACGGCATTCTTTCTCTTTGGGCCGAGGCGCTCTTGGACAACCTGCGCAAAGCCGGCTGGGTCATCTCGGGTGCTGGCGAGCGAGTGCCATCGCCTTGTAAGCTTCGAAGCAGGGCGCCTTTGGAGCCGAGGGTCCACCAAACCGGCCTTGACTTCGAGGTGCTTTTTGATAACATACTGCGCTTGGCTCGGGACGCCTCCCATGAGCCTAACGACGGCATCTTGAGGGATGGTGTCGAAGGCGGATTGCACGTCCACTTTTGCAAAGTAAAAGGTCGGACTTGCCTCGCCAAAGCTTGCGCTGAATGAACGGAGCCGTGTGTAAATGTCGCCCACGGAGAACATGGACGAGCCGAGCTTGGATGTGTTACGCTCCTGGTAGTCGTTAGCACTATCGATTTGGAACACGGAGGCACCCTACAGTTTCCAGCCTGAGCATTGAATGGACAGGACCGAGGACGGAGTTGATGCTCGGCCCAAGTGCGTTTCTCCCTTGGACAACTGCCCGCCTCCGCAGATTTGTGATGGGTCTCATGGTTTTGCCCTTGGGGAGTAGTCTGATGCGGCTGAACCCTAGTCTCCTCGATGCAAGGATGCGGTTTGCATCGCCTAGGCTCATCTCCTCCAACATGTTCGCTCTTAGCGTCGCCATGGCTGGTTCGGCCACATAACGCCATACGTCGTGGCGAAAGAAGAACAGCCGATAGCGGTGAGAGCTCGACTCCGTAATGTAAAAGTTACTGCGCAATAGGGGTATCAAAATGGAATCAAAAACATAGTAGAGAAACTCGTGCAGGATCTCGAGCCGCTTCTTCATGTCCGACTGGCTGGTCTTCATGCCTTTCAGTTTTGGTGGTGCCAGCCAATCCATGGCTGTGACCTAGCATGCTGTTAACGAGAACCTTCAACAACGATGCAGACCTGCTTACCTTTATCCCGTCAGTCACCTCCTCAAGGGACATGCTTTCGAATCTTCTCAGTCTGACAAAGTGGTCAACTCTCTTGAAGACCAAATCACGATTATGTGCTTGATCAGGACCGCTGCCCCAGAATTCGTTTGGTATGAGTCTGGCCAGCACGGCGCGGCAAAAGGCGGACACGTGGGGTGTCGGCGTCGCCAGATCAGTGACGGCATCGAACTTGATCGTTGGTATCGAAGGGGCCTGTTGCCGAGCTTTGTGGCGATGCTTTGTCGTGACGGCGCTTCGACTGGCGGGTGCTGTCGCCTGTGTATAGGTGAGCGAGAGCTGCGTGCCTGACGGCTTGGCCGGCTTCTTGTGCGCAGATTTCCGAGTCGTGCCATCGATTGCAGAAGGGCAGTGGTGACGCAGCAGTTCGGCGTACGCGCAGCGACCATGAAGCGATTGCAAGTGCTCGACCAGTCGTTTGACGTCTCCTCGTAGCCTTTTCGGCGTTCGAATCTTCTGATCCTTGAACAGCGAGTTGATCTCCTCTTCGCGGAGGGTGTAGTCAGGGAGCTTCTGGGCGGTCTTGAGATGGTCGACCTTGGAGTTGAAAACGTTGTGCAGTCCAAACTGACGAGGGAAGATGTACATCATCACCTTGAGCGTGTTCTGCTCATTGCTTTGATCCAGCCGCGTCTTTTGATCTGGGTCGGCCTGGGCGCAATCTGTCACCCTTGGGCAACGGCTGAGAACATCTAGGACAACGTTAGCCGCAGTTTGATGACGGTGACAGAGACTCACGTATATGCCTGAATCCGTAGTGAACAGTCCCGCGGCCAGTGAGAGCAGCCCGAGCATACAGCATGCGATTCCTCATGAATGGCAGCTCTGACGGCAGCCTCTCGTCTTCAAGATTCGAGTCCTTTGCAGGCTTCTGTGCCGCAGCCGGCTCCCATCTTGCCGTGTCTGCAGCGAACATTGGCGTACCGCTGAGCTGGTACATGTTCCCTACACCCGCTTGCGCAGGGAGGAAAATGGCCGTGTCAATGAGAAGGTCAATCATGATTTGTTCGCCTGATTTCCCCAACAGCATGAGAAGCTGCGGCCACGGAGAAGCTTTGAGGGTCTGGACGAAATGGTTGGGATGAACCGGGTACAGACCGGACGGCCATTCGCCATTTCTGGGCTCTCGCGGGTTGCCGGCGTTTTGCGCGTATCTTCGGAAGCCATCGCAGAGAAGATGCCTGGGCCAGCCACCTGACTGATTGCTGGAGAAGAGTTGCCAAATGACAAAATTTACAATCTGCCGACGTTGTTAAGATGGGACAGCAAAGGAGTACAGGAGCAGCACCGACCTCCGACTGCGAGCAAGTCGCGCCAGCTAGCCCTCCGGACAGTGACATCACAGAATCGTCGCACTTTGAATCATTGCCCTTTTGCGAGAAAGATCGCCAGTTTTCCCAGCGAGATTCAGCCCTTGTATTAGTCTGACGGTGCATACATACCAGCGTCGAGTCTAGCAGTTTTGACAGGTCGGCTTCTGCCGGGAGCGCTTCTTTGGCCAGGGATGTGCGTGATAGTCCAATGGAGGCAATCTTCTTGCGGCGAAGCCTGGATGAGCTCGGGAGCCTAGACAGCAGGTATTCGCGGAGATTCTGCGCATTGTCGTAGTACTGTAGAAGGACCGACTGCCTGACGGCATTTTGGGCTCGGCCAGCCTTGAGCCTTTTGGAGTCAGAGCGGCCCTCGGCCGGTCGCTGTTGCGGCTCTGCCTTTCTCTTGGGCGCCATCGTAGTGGCTGGATCTCATCCAAAAGTCAACATCGGGTTGTAAGTGCGTTTGACCCCCGGTCGTCTCCCATGGGACGCAAGATCGAGGTGACACTCCGATTCCCCAGCGCGTTGGTTGCGCAATCAGGATTCAAGATTCAAGAGGAGGCGCTAGAGAACGTCATTACGGGTGAACATGCGGCCATGTGTCTGTGGAATAGAGACGGGGGGCAGCACATACGAAGTCGACGTTGAGGTTGACAAGCGCGACGCGTCTTTGTCTAAGACGGTAGAGACAGAGACGCTACGGAGACAAAGCAGTGCCGCAACGGTGGCCCCGTATCGTGCGCTACTCCAGCGCGAATAACAGAAAGAAAGACGCCGGCGCGGTGGTCTAGGCGCATCTCATTGAGGTGGGACGACGGCGCACGTCCAGTGATCTGCCGAACACGGGCGCCGTCTCAAAACGGTGGCTTTGTGGCTTCAGCAGACGCTCACTGGGCAGCATCGGCGCTCAAGCCACCAGGGGCGCACAAGGGCGAGGGCGCCAAGGCGTCCCCCAGCCTGGTGAGACGAAAATACGGTCGTGGGGGTCCGCTACAGCAGTGCTCCCGTTGCCTGCAGCAGTCGAAATTCATCAGGGCCACCAGCTCCAGTCCGATCTCAAGCCGGCCCTTTCTTCCGTTGCACTCAACAGGAACCTGCGATGCAATGTGCTGCGCTGCACTACCTTTGCACTACGTCGATAAAAATATGCACCGTCACTTGCCGCTCCGCACGAAGGCTGGGCCAGCGGGGAGGAGCTAGATGCAAGGGCGACTGCAAAGCGGAAAGCGGGCGGCGGCTGGCCACGAAGACTCTCAGCCATGCGGTGCGACGTCGTACCGCGTGTCCAATAATTTGGGAGGAGGAAACACCTGGGGGGAAAGCACACATTGTCCACGAGAGACACGGCACCAGTCGACGTTGGCCTGTACAGACAATCCAGATACGAGGGCTTGAGCCTCCGCGGTAAGCAAGACGAATGGGTTGTGGGTTTCAACCTGGGTGAATGAGACGCTCTCAGCCACTTGCGCCTCGTAAGGGGCTTGCGACTCAAGGGCCGAAAGGGAGAAAAGAGCCAAGGGAAATGGACCGACATCTATGATCTCCAGGCCCGTCAACCAAGCCCCTGGCTGCTGACATGACCTAAAGGCGTGCAGCTCGCGCGTCGAATCCACATGCGAGATGATTTGATGGATGTTAACGTCGCCAAGGTGGAGGTTAAGAGGCTGAAAAGCTCGTGAACAACCTCACGACGGTGATGGCTGCACTGCCGCTGCCGCCGTTCAGATACAGCCCGCGCGCCAAGCCCACCGGCCCTGACTAAGGCAAGGAATGTCGAGTCCTCGGTCGTTACTGACGTGAGCTGGTAGAGGCGGGGGAGCTGCGGCCGGTACAGTGCTACCACATATCCGTTGATTTGCCTCGCATCATATTGCAGGTCTTAAGATAGGCACAGACGCCTGACGAGTTGCAGTTGGGGAACTTCCCTGCTCGTAAATGGTCTTTCGCCGCGTCTCCCATGGCACGAGCTGGGCTTGTTCCTGTAGCCATCAATGTCTGCACCTGCAATCAGCAGCAGTCGCCCTCTATCGTGACAATGGCTTCTACGGCACCGAGGCTATTGAAATGATTTGAGAGGCCGATGTGGCAGATTGTCCACCAGAGGTTGGATATCGAGTGATGGACGATAGTGGACGAGCGAATAAGACGAGGCAACGCCGCAAAAGCAACGGGTAGCGGAGCTTCGCACACGAACCTAGAAAATAGTTGGGACGTTGGAGGGCAAGTAACTCTCGGATGTTTCAACCCGGAACCTGCTGGATGCGACGCTGCCGTGATATTTGCCCACGCAGGCCGTCGTGAAGTGATTTCCCTGGTATGTGCCTCGCTGGAGACTGACGTGAGGGCTCGACCCGTTCAATCTATTTCGCCTCGGAGCGACGCAAGGCACGTTAACTTGCCGCTGTCTCATGGGTCGGTGCGGTGCGGTGCTGGCGGAGATGGAGGCATTTGGCATGGATCCTCCCCTCTTGGAATGGGTGACATGTTGCCGTCATTTTGGAGGTGCGTTCGCAGCGAGCGCAGCCCCCAATGACCAATCCGACGGCTGCACACTCGCGCCCCCCATCGTTCTTCGCTCCCATCGGTGGGCGCCCAAAGGTTTGGCCGATTGGATGTGACGTCTGGTGGCCGTGCCTCCTTGGCACTCCAAGCTTACCTCGAGTCTTAAATGCCAGTCCAGCAGAGAGTGCCGTTTTGACTTTGCGGGTAGGGAGGCTTAGGCACGGGGAACTCAATGCACTCCAGTCCTCTAATATCTCATGTCTTGCATTCGGGCGTGTCTGCTCGCTCACGAGACCTTTTGAGACGGGACGAAGCGAGGACCAAGAGACCAACATCGGATCTCTGTCTGAGAAGAAAAACAAAAGAAACCAAAGTTTCTGTATCACCCTGGTCCACAGGAATTTTTCGTCATGGAAGAACGAATACAAACCGGCCGAAGAAATGATTGCGGCAACAACACACACAACGGCCGAGATGCCTGCAAACAAAGCACTGGCCTGGCGGCGGTGGTGGTGGAGCTGGCTGTTTGTTTCTCTGGGGCTGTATTCGCAACCATATCCCGGGCATGTTTTCCAAGGTCCAAACAATCCGGTGGAGTGGCCAAGCAAGGAATGGCATCGCAACTGCAAATTGAGGCTTGGTTTCTCCAGCCCGTAGGATGGATCGGAGTCGACGGCAGGGCCCAGTTGGATCCGTCGGTTCCAGCAGATGGAAGCAATGGGAAAGGGTGATTGCTTGGGTAAGGTGAGCGATCCACGTTGTCGTCGAGTTCTTTGTTTGTCCAGGTCCGGACGGGGGAGGCCGTTTCCATCACCCAGCACGCATGGCAAAGGTCGGCCGTTGGCAAAGTCAATTTCATTCACTCGGACTTTTTTTTTTTTATCCTCGTCGCTGGGCAGTTTTAGAGACAGAAATTATTTTCCGCCCGGGGAAAAGCAGGCGGGATGGAGTCATGCCTGCTGCTTCGGTTCCAGGTCCAGTTGAATCCATGGAGCCCCAGGACCGGTGTGTCGTCCGGCTTTCGCTCCCTCTTTCCCGAGTCTCCGGACGTGCCTGCCGTACTGTCTCTAGCACCTGCACCTGCCGTCATTCCCCTCCCCGTAGCTTGGCCCCCCCTCCCCCTTCCCACTCGTCCCTCCCTCTCCCCTGGCTGCGCCTGCCAAGGAGCCTAACCAATTTGTGCTCCGTACCTTGCACACGACGTCCAATCCTGCTTGACTCCTGCGGTCCTGGATGCCAACCCAGACCGAACTGACCCCATCTAGACCGATTGGACAGCTTCCAGAGCCCTCACCTTTTCTTGCAAAGTCCCACTTCCCGTCTCAGCTCGCCATTCAAGGCTCCTCTTCACCTGTGAACCTATCCACCGCGACTTCCTTAGCTGCTGCGTAGGTACCTCCTTCCTTCCCTCAAGTAAGGTGACTTGCTGGGGTAGTTCTCACCCCAAGGTAAAGTACCTGAGGTATCTAGCCACTCGGGCTACCTCGTTCTTTCTCGTCGAAAGCACCCTCCTTCCTCTTGTCAATCAATTCGTAGGCTGCTTGCTTTTTGAACACGGCAAGCAGGACTGGACACGAAGCAGGTGCGGCAAGTACCTAGGCAGCTACGCCAATTCACCTCGATCCAGTTCAAGACGAGGAAGGCGCTGCGCCAAAAATTAATTCTCCTCCTCCTGCCCACTCCTGCACCTCATTCTGCACATTGGATTGCGCCTGCTTCCCCCCCCAAACTCCAGTAGTCTACTGCGTAAAGGCTGGCCGCCTCCTCTCCATCTCACCCTTCCATAATCGCTACGTCTACACCCGCTAAAGCAGCATACGCCTCCCGCCGTCCTTCCCCCCCAATCTGTCTCCTCACTTTTACACCTCCGTCTATCCTTCCCGCTTCGCTCTCTCGCCTTTGTGTGTTTGAGTGAGTGGCTCTCTACCCGTGAAAGAGTAGTGCGTGCGCGTGTGCGCCTGCGCCTGTCTCTCCCTACCTTCACCTTCAACACCACCAAATCTCACCTCTTGCCATCCCATCTCGCTGCGTCCGATTCGATCATAACAACCAACTGGAAAGACCCCGAAAAAAAAACCCCCAAGAGAGAGGTCACAAACTTACTTTTCGCAAGCCTTCCGAATCTCGTCTCGACTCTTGCCAAAAGACAAAAAAAAAAAAAATCCAAATCTCCATAATAACCCCCACAGAGCAAAAGTCGCACCACGGGTACTCCTGCGGTGGCCACCCATCCATGCATTAAGATTTGCTGTCGATAGGCCCCGGACACTGCCAACGCTCGCCAACCAGGGACAGCCCGTCGCCTCTCCAAACTGTCGCTGCCCACTCAGCTTGCAGGCCAACACATCAATGCTTCCCAACCCAAACATCCCACACAGCCTGCATGGGTCTATGGGAATCCTGACGAGCCAGTCCACCCAACACGCCTGACGGATGTTCAGGCCACAATGGAAGCTGGCAGTCCAGAAGAGGAGGACCGCCTGGCCACCGTCCTGCAACAGCAGCACCGACAGCAACAAACTACCCACTACGCTCATCACCAACTTCATCGACAACCAAACTTCGAGACGAGTTACGAGTACCACGAGCCCGATCTCGACCACGACGCCGACGACTACGACCCTTACCGCCACCCGTCCGAACATTCTTCAGATACCCGTCATCACCACTACCTCCCTACGAGCCCTGTAGCGAACGGTTTCCATCCCCATCAGACATTGGATGCCTCTGCCGCCGACACGGCTGAGGCCTTCGCTGCGGATGGTCATGCTCACGACATCGTAAACCCGGATGATTTTTACCGAAGCTATCGAGGCGGACCGTCGTCAAACCATCATCATCGAACCCTTTCATCAGACAACGACTACATGGCGACCTCAGTCTCCCGAGCCCGCGATAACCCGTCCGTGCGGTCAAACGGCAATGGCACTAACCCCAAGAACCCGCCTGCGCCTGCAGCCCGAGCTGCACTGCGTCCCTCCCAGCGATCTGCCTCTGCCCCAATCGAACCCCCCGTCGGTGCCCCGAGGTCGAACACGAACCGGAAACCTAGCGTCAAGGACCTGACAAAGAGATTCGACCAGCAGCCTTCATCGTCGTCGTCGTCCGCCGGTCCCCGGATTCCTGTTCGAGGTGTCCCGTTACGGCCCAGTAGATCTGCGACTGCGACGAGTGACAAGTCGACGCCCGGTGTGAATGGGTCAATATCATACTCCACCTTGAGGACTTCGACGAACCGCGAGCTGACGACAGACTCCAGTCGAGGCACCGCTGCCCGGGGTACACAGAGGACAAAATTCGTCGCCGAGGACCAGCTGTCAAACAACTCCCAATCCTTTGCCAGCCGTATTGCCAAACCGCGAAACCCGCCGTCGGCCACCGGCACCCCCAACGCATCGAAATCCATGACGAACCTCCAGCACAAGTCGCCGACTCTGTCGCCCCCTTCCTCCCCACGAGCGCCAGGCCTGTTGTTTGGCGAGATCCTCCCTGACCAGCGCGACACTCCAACCGCAGGATTCGGCATCGAAGGCTCCGGTGCGCGCCCGCGTAGAACTTCAGAGTCCAGCATCCACGTCGCTCGGCTACACCAACGCACAAAATCAGATCCCGACCTCGAGCCGGCGTCCCCTACTGACTGGTACCGCTCCGCGGCCACACAACCAAACGGCGCGACAGGACGCTCCGCCCATAACACGAGGAGCCATGTTCGGGCGCACAGTGACGTTGCTGCGTCAAAAACCGGATCACCAATGGTGCGAAAGGCGCTGCCGTCGCGTCCGACGCCAGAAGGCGTGCATCCCGAGAGGGCTGCGTCGCCGTCGTCGCGCCTCCCTGTCTCGGTTCGAAAGCTGAGCACGCCGAGCGATTCGACAAGCGCGCCTTCCACGAGAGAAAGCTCCAGGGCCAACTCCCCGTCCACGTTCAAGCGCCCTCCTCCGTCATCAAGCAAGACACCGCGGACGACGGCGCCCGTCAACCGTGCCAAGACACCAACGACCCGGGCAAAGACACCGACGCAATCAACGCCTGGTGGACGCAAGCCCGCCCCCAGAGGTCTCATAACCCCGAATAACAACACGCGTCTCACAGCGTTTGTGGCAGCGCCGCCGCCCAAACTATCCCCTCCTCTGCGCAGCTCCCGCCCCCGGCAGTCGGTATCGACGGCCACGACCGCGAGCTCGCGTCTGAAGGCCGTCGAGAGGGCCAAATCCCCGCACAAGAATGCGCCTAGGCAGTCGTCAAAGGCGGAGGAGTCAACGTCCCGGCGGCGGAGGATATCCGTCGGGCCCATCGATTTCGAGCAGCGACGGGAGCATATCCGACTCGCATATACTAAGTCTATTCGCGATAGCCAGGCTCGGGATGCGAAACAAGCTGCGAAGCGAAAGAAGGAGCAAGAAGCAGCAGCCGCCAAGGAGAAGGACGAAATACCCCCGGTGCCCACGATTGGCCAGGAATTGCCACAGCTGGATGACGCGAATGCGACCGAGAAGATACCCGACCCGCCCGAGGACGCACCAGCAGAAGCACCCGAGACTCAGCCCGCTGTGGCTCCCGAGGAAGCTGTCGACGATTCGGAACCGCCGGCCCAGCCTACGCCGTCTGAGCAGCCGCCCCAGTCGTTAACAATCTCGACAGCAGTGCCACCCGTCGTGTCCATCGCGGCTCCTCCATCGCTGGCCATCGACTCCCCCACACTGGGCATCCCGGGCAGCTTCCCTGCCCTGAGCCCTCCCGTGGACGATGTGCCGCAGTCAGCAGTCTCGGCGGCTACGGAGACGACGGAATTTGACATTGAGCCCCAGACTCTTCCGCCTATCCAGTTGGAGACACCTGCACCAACTGGTCTCGGCCTGACGATTGCTCAAGCTGATGGCAACCACGAGCAGGCGCATATTGAGGAAGTACGCCGTGCGCCAACGCCGGAGAGGGCCGAGTATCACTACCCGTTCGAGGACGAGCCAGCAGCCGACGACAAGGTCTCGATCAAAATCTCGCTGGACCAGACGTCCCCGCAGCCGTCGCCTGAGCCGACTCCCACGAGGAGCGAGTTCGATGACCCCTCTATCCCCGGCGCGTTCACCAACTCCCGCCCCATCTCCGAAGACTATCAGCCGGTGCCCTTCTCGAGCCCTCCCTACGAGACGACGGTCAAGATCCTGCGCCGGGAATCCGAGTATGACTCTCCGCGCCAAGAGACTGTCCCATTCCCAAGAATGGAGTCCTACGACGACGTTGACAGCGGCAGTCAGGTCGACGACATGGACGAGTCCGTCTGCGATGTATCCTACTTTCCAGACCAGGCCGAGACGGAGCTTGCTGAGGCATCCAGCGATACGCTTGAGAGGCCAGAGGACTTTTACCACGATCACCACAAGGACAACGATTCGTCCCAGCGGGCATCGACGTGTGAGTCTTCAGACGCGCAAGAGGACCTCCACAAGACGAGCCTCGAGAGCCAGCAAACGCCCGACACCTCTCACAGCTTGATGGTCCCATCGATACACCCGTCTGCGAATAGAGTCAGCCAGCAATCCGCGTGGACCGACTTCTCTGTCGATAGCAACGACCCGCCGCACCACCGGATCTCGGCTTTCAACGACGTGCTGCCCATGCCCAAGCCGCCGTACGCTACTGACTCGCTGTATGCCTCTAGCAGAGACTCGTCCGCTCGTCAAAGCCAGCACTACAGCCCCGATATCCCCCCCGCGGAGTTCGCCAACGCTCAGCCCTTGGAGCCCGCGACCACGCAAGCGGAAGCGCAGCCTGCGGCGGAATCTGGAGAGGCCCAGCCGGTGGGACGAGCTACGATCCATCAACTGCCCGAGCTGGACACCGGGGAAGGATTCTCTGTCCCGTATCCTGACGCCAGTTACCCCTGGCCTCCAAAGGAACGCAAAGAATGCAAGTCTGTACCGCGCCCCGAGCATGAGCCGCCGCCAGTGCCCGCGTCCAAGGCTGGATACGATGCGCGACGCACGGCAGTCAGCAGTTTCTACGCCGACACTCTTCCCGGCAGCACCCTGGTCGGCTCTCGTCGTCAAAGTGAGGAGGGATCACGGCCCGTTTCCACACCGCATTCCATCGATCATATGTCCATCGAGACCAGAGACCAATCTCTTGGCGGTCAAACCCCGATAGAGCCGACATCGACACCACTGAAGGATGGCCCCACTGGAAAGGAAAGACACCGGCTTGTGCAGCGGCGAAACGTCATTAAGGAGCTCATCGACACGGAGGCGGTTTTTGTAAGGGACATGAACATCGTGGAGGAGATCTACAAGGGCACGGCAGAGGCCTGCCCGAGACTCGACGACAAGACGATCAAGCTCATCTTCCGCAACACTGACGAAATCATCAGCTTCCACACAAACTTTCTGACCCAGCTCAAGGAGGCTGTGGTGTCAGTGTATGTTCCTCATGCGCGTCGGTCGCCGCTGCCGAGAGAGGACGCGGCGGCTGCTGCCGAGGGAGCGTCATCCAACGGCTCCGCTGCTCCTGAACTTAGCGACGACAGGGACAGAGCCACGGCGATCGGTCCCGTCTTCAAGAAGCACATTGAGGACATGAGGGTGGCGCATGAAGGGTTCCTGAGGAATAGCGATCACGCCGCAAAGCGGTTGATCCAGATCCAGCAAGATCCGACGGTCAAGGTATGGCTGAACGAGTGCAACGAAGTGGCTAAGGACCTCACGGCAGCTTGGGATCTGGACTCTCTCCTCATCAAGCCCATGCAGCGCATCACGAAATACCCGACCCTGATCATGACGCTCCTGGCACACACTCCTCAGGACCACCCTGACCGAGCGGAGCTCATCTCGACAAAGGAAGTGTTGGAACTGGCCATCATTGAGATCAACAAGACCAAGAAGAACTTTGAGCTCGTGGGACAAATCGTCGGCCGCAAGAGGAAGGAGTCTGATGTCAAGGCCGGCTTTGCTCGAGCTTTTGGCAAGAGGGTGGACAAGCTGCAAGCTGCCAGCTCCAGGATACCCGAGGATGCCGTGTACGCAAAGCTGCACGAGAAGTTCGGAGACGACTACCTCCGACTGCAGGTTGTGCTCAGAGATGTCGAGTTTTACACCCGACAAGTCAGCGCCTACGTCCACGAGTTTTTGCAATATCTGTCGTCCATGGAACTCGTCATGCGACTCCAACCTGGAAGCTACCCGGAGCTGGAAAGCAAATGGGTCCAGTTTAACGTGTCCATGAGGGATATTGAGAAGGTTGCCCTTGAAGAACATGTGAGTACAACGTTCGAGACATTGCTCATCCCCCCCCATCTAACAGTCGGCCAGCTCCAACAAGTGAGAAAGCATGTTATCGAGCCATTCGAGCATGTCATCAAAGCATACGGCAACCCATCCCTCGCGATGAAGAAGCGCTCGAAGCGCCGCCTCGATTTCGAGCGGTCCGAGCAGCTCAAGAAGGGCGGCAAGACGGTCGACGCTAGGCTTAAGGAGCTGGTGGAGCAGTATGACGCCCTGAACGAGACCTTGAAGAAGGAGCTGCCACAGCTGTCGGCCTTGACCGAGAAGATTGGCAACATTTGTCTGGGTAACTTTGTCAACATTCAAGCCAACTGGTACTCGATCTGGGTGGAGAAGGTCAAGAAGGTCACCGGAGAGACGGGCCCGCCGCCCGAGGTTGCAGACATTGTTGCGCAGTTCCAGCGCGACTACAAGTACGCCCAGGAGATGTTCACTAACATTGGCATTCTCAACCCGGCATACAAGGGCAGAACGTCACAGTCGACCACGGCAAGCACCGACGACGTCACCGCCACGTCGAAGCTCCGACCACGGCCCGCCGAGCTCTCCCCCCGGCCCAGAGGCCTGTCAGTGAACGGCGACCATGCCCCGATGCTGCCCACCCCGGACTTTGCAAAGCGCCACAGCGGGCAGTTCACCCTGTCGCCATCAACCACTCCGCTCAGCCCGCACCAGTTCTACTACCGAGACTACTACACAGGTGCCAATGGCCACCGACCGTCGGTGGCACCATCTCCGGTCACGGGAGACCAGTCTCCGGTGCCTCGCCCTAATATCCCTCCTTCGTTGACGCGGCCTGGAACAGGCAAGAGTTTCGAGTCCAATGGCCTTCCCCGACAGAGCTCTGAATCTACAGTGCACACGAGGAGAGACTCAAATCCCGCTCATCAGACCCCCCAGCACGCAGGTGGCGAGTCGCGCCGGTTCTCTGGCCTATTCCACTCAGCACTCCCCATGCCAGACGGCACCGAGGAGAGCCAGAGATCGTCCAGAGCATCGTCCCGAGAGCGGGTGCCAGCAGGCAACGGCTATAATGTGCTCTGGCTAGCAGCGTCATTGTTCGAGTTCAATATTGAAACCACAAAGCATGAGGCTGGGTACCCCTATCTCACGTACCAAGCTGGCGAGGTAAGTGGCTGGCCCCGTCTTTGTCTTGAGATCCACAGATGGCTAACAGTGATTCACATAGATCTTTGATGTCATTGCCGAAAAGGGTGAGCTGTGGCTTGCCAAGAACCAAGACGATCCTGATGACCAAGTTGGTTGGATTTGGTCCAAGCACTTTGCGAAACTGGCCGATTCCTAGAGCCCTTTGCATACGCACAGCCGGCGGCGTTTTCAAAAGTCCTTTTTTTCCTTTACCCATAGGCAGGCCAAGGTCTGCGTGCAGTCGGGCACATGCGCGCTGACGGTTGCTTGCGCGCTCAAGATGAGCCGGGAGACAATTCAGTCTCCCGCGGCATGTATTACATGATGAAAAAAAGAAGAGAGATCTCTGGTCGACGAATGATTCAGGGAAAGAGGTATGGAATTGATCCTATAAAGGTCAGGGGAGGGGGAAGCCCCCAACATGTACAGTTTATCAGCTCCTTTTTTTCCCGGCTTCTTTTTTTCTCTCTCCCTTCTTCCCTTTTGTTGCTCGAGATGGAAACGAGATGGCGTTTGATAAAGGCGACATAATGAGGTCTTGACGGATGGAATGCGACCATGTCAGCTGATGTACGTCACTGGCGGCTTCTCACGAAGAAGAAAGGATCAGCAATGAAAACTTTGGGAGCGTTGAGCGTTGTTGGTTGAGCCCGGGTTGGGCGTGTCGGCGTTGGAGCCATGCAGTAGGGACTGCAGGCATCATTTTTGTAGTTTTTCAATATCCAAAGGATGTGTCGGAATTAGACCTTGCCGTCTCTCGCGCGTTTTTGAATGCTTCCGGTTATTTCGGGGTGATGCTACTCAGCCTCGCCAACGACAGCATCCCATGATCCATCCGGCGGGGATAATCTGCACCGCTGCGGCTTCCCGCGCGGCAATGGCTTTACCAACGCCATGCTTGCGGTTCCGGGACGGGGCGGACGAGGGCGCAGGAGGGTAGACTCCGGTGCCGTAGCTGCGGAACACACTCAAGCCACCCGAGATTGGCGACCGGACACCAACCGCCGAAACTAGAGATATCTCGTCGAGCCAACCCATTCGTTTGTGCGTCCATCACCGTTCACTTGGCGATTCCGGATGCTACAGGGTCCGTATTCACATGCAAGGCGCCCGTTGAAGGTAGGGCCCAACGGAAACCCCCTCTGGCTCTGGTTCGTCTAATCTTGTCTCCCTCACCGCTGCGCTCTGGAACGCGCGCGCGCGCGCGCAAGGGCAGTGAAGAAGTATCACCAAACTTTGGGGTTCCAGCGCCGCGAAAAGAAGCAGACGCAACTCCTCGTTCGGGAAAAGTGCGTGACAGCTGTTGCGGCGCAGGCAGAGATCACTTACCTACCTAGACCCCCTCGGCACGTTTGGGGGCTGAAATTCTCCACACGCCCAACGGGAACTAAGGTAAGGGAAGTCTTCCTTCACAGAAGTACTTTCGGGCTACTTGTTCGCAAGGGAAGGGTTGCTGCTGCTTGGCCGCCCGCGCCGTCGTCGTGTATGCACCCGAGTGGGGATTGCTCTCCCGGCCGAGTGAGGGGGAGGGGGGGTACTCCGGGCCCAGGTCCGAAGGCAAAAGTCACCCTTCCTGTCCCTTTCGTTGGCCTGAAGCTGAAGTGTGTGTAAGCCGGAATGGAAGCAGCAAAGCCTTGTCTCCAGGTCGTCAACGAGAGCACATAATGATCGGGGCAAGAAGTGCTGTAGGTAAGACTAAGAACTTACGGCAGACAGAGCCGTGTGACATGAGGGCGTAAAATTAAGCCACAGCCATGCATATCAGTTCATTTAGTTGTCAAGGCATTGAATAAAAGAACCTCGCAACGCAGCAACAATGGCTCAGAGGTTCAAAACAAAAGCGCTCTAAATGAATAGGGATTTTTATACTAGATTCCTCAACGGGAAGAGTGCTAATCAAAATACTCAGGCACTTTAGATTATGCAGATGCCCACATACTGGTAGCCTCTTTTTCCCCGGGTGTGCCTCGTTACTAGAGCTGCGCTTCGTGCCCATTCAACGCAACATTACTTCATCGCGCGGACGACTCCCACATCGCGCGGAAGGATGGCCTCGGTGATGCGACGGAGAATACCCTTTTAAAACTCCTCGTCCTCTTCGTTGTTCTTCTTCCCGTCCGAAGGACCATCCTTCCTGATGGGAATCTTGATGCCTTGATGAGCGAAACACTTGCTCAGAGGGGTGCTTTCGCACACTCCGGGGAACTTCTTGGCAGAGTAGACCTGGAACACGTCGCTCCAGCATTGAGCGAGGACATTGCTCTTGCCCATGTTGACCAAAGAGCCAGCTGCGGAGGGCTGTCCGGCACGCTTCGCCACACTCACAAACGAGAACCTCAAGCTTCGACGGGTTAGCAATGTAGGAGACTTTCTGCGAGCGTACTTACCGGAAAAGACCCTCAGTCCTGACACTCAGATCCTGCATGACAAACCAGATACCGACATTGTCCTCCGTGTCGCTGAGGCGGAATGCGCTAGATGCCAGGCTGCCGATAAGATTTCTGGTGAACATGCCCTGGGGCTGATTTGTCGCCATCGACATGGACTGGCGGTGTCCGTACGTCATGTCAGCCTGCGATGGTACGGTGCTGGCGGCATGGTTCGGGAAATATTGAGTGGGGGGCGCAAACGAGGCGTTGGTAGATGTGTATGCAGTCGGAGGAGCTGTTTCCCGTGTCAGCACGTGAACTGATGCAGCTGGCCGCGAGAGACCTACGCTGGTACCCTTGGTACCCTGGAATCGGCGGGGGCTGCTGCTGCTGGCCATACGCAGGACCGGCCGCGTAACCGGGTATCAGGTCTGCGTACGGAGGCATGCCCGGGGGGTCTTGCCTCAGCGTGTGGAAGGGAGTCGGGGTTGTGGTAGAAATGGAGGCCGTTGTGCTCGAGTGCCTGACGAGGTTCACCTCGTGCTGTGCCTTCTCGTCCCACAGGTCGACATTGATGATGAAATGCCCATGCTCGACCTCGCTATCAGGCTGTCAGCGCAATGTCCAACTTGGAAGACGCGGGGCTAACTAACTTTACACTGAACTCGCGACCGGTTTCGGGGTTGAAGACCTTTACTCTGATACACGGCGGAGGGGTAATGGGGCGGCGGTCCTGTCGAGACGAAGCATCAGCACGAGTGTCGACGATGGCAAGTATTCAACAGGGGGCTTGCTCACCTTGTCACCGAATCCGCACATGCGCGCTCTCTGGGGTTGCTGGACAACCACAAGCCTGGACTTTGTAAGCTGATGATCTCGAGAGGTTTGCTCGGACGCTTGACGAACTCGTATTGCCTGCCCAGGTCGTCTGTCCTGGAGAAAGAAGGGGGCTGGCCCTGGCTCGCGGAAGTCGAGGCGGCGGGGCCAGAAGAGACGGCGGGAGGGTGTTGAGGAGGGACACCGTTGGGAGGCATATTAGATGGTACTGGCGCAGGAGGCGGGAAAGACATGGGGGGAAGCTGTGGGATCTGGCTTGAGGGATGGGCATGATGCGGATGCTGCTGGGGGTGCTGTGAATGATGTTGCTGGTGAGGAGGCGGAAGCTGTTGTTGAGCATAGGGGTTCGGGGGCATATGCTGCTGATGGTGGTAGCCACCAGAGGCGGGATGTTGCTGGTCGTAGTTCATGGTTTCGGCGGTTCTTTGCGAAGCTCGATCGTGGGTTCTCGTCGCGGAGCGGAGGTGGGGGGGGCGAGAGCGGCAGAAGAAAGTTATCGCAGGCCACGGCTACGTTACACGCCGGGTCAGCAAAGCGCGGAATAATTGCGGGATACGGACGCGGGCTCGGGAAGAAGAAGATTGTGCAGCAGCAAGAGGGGGACTGCACGGTACCTAGCGGGATGGACTGCCAGACTCGAGAGAAGCGTGGTTCCGTGTCTCGAGAAAATATGGTGGTCGAGGAAGGAAACGGGTCAGGGCAGCCGGGTTCGTTATAAAGGACAGGATGTTTTAGGTTCCCAAGGTGCTCGAGCTTTGAAGGTGCAGGTGCGTAGAGGCCGCAGGTGCAGTACCGCAGGACGCTTTCTTCGGTACCACAGGAAAGTGGAAGGAAGGCAGCAACCCAAGGAAGGCCGAACAAGGTTGCACATGCGTAAGTGTACGAACATGGACGGACAAGGGAGCTCGACAAAACTAAGCAGCTACCGACGCAAGTCACTGGGCAATTGGAGATGGGAAATGGGGGAGAGAGAGGGGGGCACTCTGGACGGAGGAGGGGTGCAAATGGTGGTCTGTGTGCATCTTCCTGGTTGTGGGCGGGCGTGGGGTGGGTCTGCACCTTACCTACGGAGGTACCTGCCGGGTACACTGACTGGCTCTCTGTCACCTCACGGTCTACACTCACTGTAGGTACATTGGATTGCTTCGGTGCCCAGCCCGCAAGCAAGTCTCGAGAGAAGAACAGCAGAAAGCAGAGGTGCAGCAATACCTGGAAGCAAAGACCCGACGTTCTTGACACTGACACCGACACTAGCACGGCACGACACCACGACACGGCACGGCGCCGCCTTGCAATACCGCAGCACGCTCGGTTGGTGGCGGCAACGCGGGAAGACAGGTCGAGTTTGTCTTGCACGGTTGGGCGGGCGGGATAGCAGGCGGCAGACCAGCACCAGGGCTTGCAGGGTCCCAGGTGCTCCAAGACCAAGGGAGGGGCCCCCATCCATGGATTGGATCGCTGCCAGCTGATTGATGCTGTACCTCTGCGCGGTCGTCACATTCACAGCACAGTCCAGTACAGTACAGTCCGCAGGTCGTCGGGTCGGTGCCTTTGGTTTGGGACTCTTGGTTGAGCGACCGCCATGTGTCTGTCGTGTGCTGTCGTGCCTGTGCTGTGCTCGTGCTGTACATCATGCCCACGGGTTCCGTTGTTGGGCAGAGCAACAGAGTCGACGTCGCCTGCCTCCGCCCTCGTACATGAGACAAGCCGCCATTCTTCTTTTTTGGCAAACGCTCGTTGATGCAGATATACCGACGGTTTGTGCGGCAGCCCACTTTGGGTGGACGACTGGTATCGACCACCATTGACACGACCGCCAGCGCGGGGTTTACCTGTGCCTGTCCGTACATTCAGATCACTGGGCATTGGGTCTCGCTCTCACTGGCGCCGGCTCCTTCCATTCCTCTTTGCTTTTTTTCCCTGAATGTACTCTGCAGTATGGAGTGCCAGG